ACTGCTCCAGTAACAGAGACAGTCTGAGGCTGGAGGACGATCTATTGTGCACAAGACAGTTCTGTGGCAGAGCCAGAGTTCATACTGACTTTGTGCCAAGTCCTTATGACACAGAATCCCTCAAACTCAAGGTAAACAAGTCTGGAAAGTAAATGGAAATGAAACAAACTAACTGTATTACTATAATTGTATTATACTGAGGCTGGACTGCTACAGATTTTAGGATGACAAATATCCATGCCAATATCTTCAGGAGTTTTTAGCCTAGCTAGCTGGACTATTCATAACAATGTTGGTCGGTTCTCAGACGATGAATCCTGATCCCCAAGACTTTATCTATGGTTCACCCATGTTATTGACATTTTACTGGGATTTCAAAATCCCTTCTTGTCAATTAAAGTAATAAATCCACAGGCTCTAGATAAGACCTTTCACAGTTTTCGGCCACCATAGTTTCTCCTACATGCTTGGAAGGGGAGGGTGAAGCGAGGGTGTTCTAATACACCACTAGATGCCACTAAATCCTACACACTTCTCCTTTAAAATTGACTTGAAAAATTGTTCTTTAAGTAAAATGACTTGACAGCTATTGATGGATTAGCACAAAATGTTGTTCAGACATTCATGGTTTCCAGACACTGTATCCTAAGACTTGGTGATCTCTTGACTTTTTGTCTAGCATCACAATGAGGTTGACATTTACTAACACACATTCATTTATTCAACATTACATTCCCATCATCCTCAGCTGCAAATGTGCTTAGTGCATATTTAGCAAATGTTCGCATACTAACATGCTAACCTCAGATGGGGCACATGGTAACAAAAACGTATTTTATTGACTGTATTTTGAACTTCTATTTGTGTTAAATGTATTAGTAGTAGCCTAATGTGTGCAAAGATGGAAAGATATAGGTGGTACAAAGCATCTCCTCTGTGTATGAGATTAATGTTTTTTGTACATGGTTCCAGTCAAATAAATGTAATAAAACTAAACTTCTATTCAGGTGGGAGATGTGATTGACATTTTCGCCAAGCCCCCCATGGGAATATGGACAGGCATGCTGAACGGCAGAATGGGAAATTTCAAGTTTATTTATGTGGATGTGCTAACAGAGGAGAGTCCTGATGCACATGCGGATACCCAAACCCACAGAGTGAGACAGAAATCAACTGTACAGGAAGTGTTAAGGCGCCTCAGTTTGGAGGTATTTTGTTCTTGAATTGAATGTAGCAACAATCATCTTCCATACCAGAGCATACATCAGCTTATAATTTTTTTTCACTTTTCCACTTCACCAGGAATATTCCTCGTCTCTGCAGCTGAACGGCTACCAAACAGTAGATGACTTGATTAAGCTGAGGGAGCATCACCTGATGGAGCTGAATGTGACTGATCCAGAGCACAGGCATCGTCTGCTCGTCGCTGTCGACTCCCTGCAGCAACTGTGCTGTGAGTAATGGGAAACACAGAAAAGGTCACCCAAGGACAGTGTCATCACACTCATTTTGTGACATGATAAAACCAGAAAAAGATAGGCTGAGACGTTTGGATCCAGAAAGGGAAAGGGACAAGTGACATTGCACCTCAAGTAGATAAGACTGGGAGGGTATCCGGGCCACAGCTAAAGAAGTTAAGGATAACAGGATAACCCCAAAGAGCATTTCTGAGAATAGAGCAGGACACACGAGGACAGTAGCTGCAGACAGATAGGTTGCTGAGCCTTAATGCACAGGAATAATAGCTGTAAAGGATTACTTACTGCTCATCAATTCAACTCAGTGACAGTGCATCCAACCAGCCTGCCTTCTCTGCTTTACAGCTGATAGTCAGTTGGAGAATGAGGCCAATCAGGAAGCCGAGACCCCCAGTGAGAACATGAGGGCAGATATGAACAACTGCCCAAGAGACTCAGGCTGCCACATGCCATCTGACAGCCCCGACAACAGCACAGAGGACACAGACCTTCACTTTATCTCTGAATACCCTCTACCAGCTGAGACGACAGCTTCCTGAGAATGATCCACTCCTTATATTGCCTATTTTACTTGTTGTGTACTGTGTTGAGATGACTTGTGAATCAAAAGCTGTTTTTTTATTTCTTGCGACAGTGTAATTTCTAATTATGTACAATAAAAATTCCCAAATGCCGGACGTGTCTCTATAAATTCCAAGATGTTCATTTGTTTCTTGAGATGAAAGATTTTATGAGTCTGTTTTCTCCTGTAGCTCAGTCATATTTTTACTGGAGCCTATAGCCTAATAGACATCAGAGAGAATCCCAATGACAACAAACCATTCCATAAAGGGTAGATTATTTTAAGTGGATGTCTAATTGAATGAAACTAACAAATATTTTCATTATAGGCCAATATGCCAATTGTTTTCTTGGTTAATTGATTACCTGCTTGTTCTACAAAATGTTAGAAAATTATAAAAAATGCTGGTCACAGTTTCCTTAACTAACTAACTTTAACTAAGCAAAAATCCAAAAGATTCTCAATTAACTATACAGGACAAAAAAAACAGCCCACACACAAAAAAATCACGTAAGAAAAGCTGCAATATATGGAATTTAGCTTAAAAGTGACTTAATCGATTATCAAAATGCAACGTAATTGATTAATTGATGAATCGTGTGAGCTGTACAAATGTCATTATTTTTGATAACCTGCTACTCACAGCGTAATGGTGTATTTTTTTTATTCATCCCAATAATTCAATTGAGATATGCATATTGATACTGTTGTTGTATTTGGACTTCTTGAAGTGTTGAGTAAGACACTGATACTACACATTTTCTGAGCAGCTAACAAGAATCTCATCATCATAAAGTGTTGTGCATCCTGACTTCCTGTTGTAGCCAGGACTTTACCAACACATCAACAGACGATTAAAGTGACTCTCAACAGCAAATTCTTTACATTCCTTATGGATTTTTTTTTTTTAAATAAAGTAAACCATATGCTGCTTGGAAATGTTTCAACAGGACTAAGTCTACAGCCAGCTGTTCTGAGGCTCTAATTAGGCACAGCTGTATTTTGAGCTGAATTACAGAAAAATTGACGTATTTGTAATGGATTACAGTTACCTTTTAATGTATCCTGATTGCGTAACTCAGTTACATGTAATCCGTTGCTCCCAAGCCTGTTAGCACTAAACACAAAGTACAGCTAAGCTGAGGTGGATGGAAGTTTTCATTAGTTCTGCAGGAATTTAGTTACAAACCAAAGTAAATGACTTGATGGTGGTACTAGATGAAAAGTCAGAAGATCAAAGTGATTACAATTCAACCTGAGGAGGACATTAATGTACTAACCAGTTAGAAATTAACCCAATAGTTGTTGAGATATTGCACTCAAAACCCCAAATGTCAACCTCATACGTGCTACAGGAAATGTCAAAAGGATTCATCCACAAGGGACATTAAATCTTTGTTACAAAATTTCAAATCCATCCACCAGTTGTTGAGATA